GCTACTGAGCGTCGGTGGTGGAGGGAGTGGATATTTGTGGATGTGGTGCCAATCAAGCGGCTGCTTTGTCCTGGATGGTGTCAAGCTTCTTGAGTGTTGTTGGGGCTGCACTCATCCAGGCAAGTGGGGAGTATTCCATCACACTCCTGACTTGTGCCTTGTAGATGGTGGACAGGCTTTGGGGAGTCAGGAGGTGAGTTACTCGCTGCAGTATTCCCAGCTTCTGGCCTGTTCTTGTAGCCACTGTGTTTATGTGGTGAGTCCAGTTGAGTTTCTGGTCAATGGTAACTCCCAGGATGTTGATAGTGGGGATTCAGTGATGGTAACACCATTGAATGTCAAGGGGTGGTGGTTAGATTGTCTCTTATTGGTGATGGTCATAGCCTGGCATTTGTGTGGTGTGAATGTAATCATCAGCGAACATCCCCACTTCCGACCTTATGATGGAAGGAACGTCATTGATGAAGCAGCTGAAGATGGTTGGGCCTAGGACACTACCCTGAGGAACTCCTACAGAGATGTCCTGGAGCTGAGATGACTGATCTCCAACAACCACGACCATCTTCCTATGTGTCGGGTATGACTCCAAGCAGCAGAGAGTTTGCCCCATGATTCCAGTAGTACTGTATGGGAAGAGCTTGCTTATAGATGTTCAGGAGCACAGGTCTTCAGTGCTATTGCTGGAGTGTTGTCAGGACCTGTAGTCTTTGTAGTATCCAGTGCCTTCAACTGCTTCCTAAAGGAATACTTTGTGTTGGCATTCACCAAAGAGAAGGAATTGGTGGAGGATGATGTCAGGGAAGGGACTGTCAAGTTTCTAAGCCAAGTTGCTAATAAAAAGGACAAGGTGTTGTGCATCTTAAAATGTATTAAGGTAGATAAGCCCCCAGGTCCTGGTGGGATCAGTTGCAGAATATTGAGGGAGGCAAGAGAGCAAATTGCTGGAGCATTGGCAGACATCTTGTATCCTCTTTGGCCACAGGTGAGGTCCAAAAAGACTGGAGAATAGCCAATATTGTCCCATTGTTTAAGAAGGGAAACAGGGATAATCCAGGAAATTACAGGCCTGTGAGTCTCACATCAGTGGTAGGGAAATTATTGGAAAAGATTCACAGGGACAAGATCTATGCACATTTAGAAGCAAATGGATTGATTAGCGACAGCATAGTTTTATACAGGGGAGGTTGTGCTCACTAACTTGATCAAGTTTTTTGAGGCTGTGATGAAAATGATTGATGAGGGAAAAGCGGTTGATGTTGTCTACATGGATTCAGTAAAGCCTTTGGCAAGGATCTCATGGCAGACTGGTACAAAAGGTGAAGTCACATGGTATCAGGGGTGAGCTGGCAAGATAGGTACAGAACTAGCTTAGTCATAGGACTCAGAGGGTAGCGGTGAAAGATGCTTTTCAGAACAGAGAGCTGTGACCTAGTGGTGTTCCACAGGGATCAGTGCTGAGACCTCTGCTGTTTGTGATCTATGTAAATGATTTGGATGATACAAAGATTGGTGGAGTTGCGGATAGTGAGGAGGATTGTCAGAGGTTACAGCAGGATATAGATCAGTTGGAGGCATGGGCAGAAAAATGGCAGATGAAGTTTAATCCGGACAAATGTGAGGTGATGCATTTTGGAAGGTCAAATACAGGTGGAAATTATACAGTGAATGGCAGAAACTCTAGGAGTATTGCTGTGCAGAGGGATCTGGGTGTGCAGGTCCACAGATCACTGAAGGTGGCAGCGCAGGTAGATAAGGCAGTAAAAAAGGCTTATGGCATGCTCCCCTTCACTGGAATGGGCATTGAGTATAAGAATAGACAAGTTATGCTGCAGCTTTATAGAACTTTAGTTAGGCCACACTTGGAATATTGAATACAGTTCTGGTCACCACACTACCAGAAGGATGTGGATGCTTTAGAGAGGGTACAGACAAGGTTTACCAGGATGTTGCCTGGTATGGGGGACTTTAGCTACAAAGAAAGGTTGGATAGACTGGGTTTGTTTTCACTGGAATGAAGGAAGTTGAGGGGCAACCTAATAGAAGTTTAAAAGATTGTGAATGGCATGGATAGAGTGGAAAGTATGAGGCTTTTTCCCAGGATGGAGGGATCAATTAATAGGGGACACAGGTTCAAGGTGCGAGGGGGTAAGTTTTAAAGAGATGTGCAAGGCACCACAAAGGGTGGTGAGTGCCTGGAATGCGTTGCGAGAGGAGGTGCTGGAAGCAGACACTGTAGCAGTGTCCAAGAAGCACCTGGACAAATACATGATTAGGAAGGGAACAGAGGGATACAGATGCTGTAGGTGAAGACAGTTTTAGTATGGAAGGGCAAAATGTGGCAGCATAGGCTTGGAGGGCCGAAGGGCCTGTTCCTGCACTGTATTGTTCTTTGTTCTTTGTTCCTTGATATCACGTGGAGTGAATCGAATTGGCTGAAGACTGGTATCTGTGATTGCTGTGGAAGCTTCAGCCTTATCTTTTGTACTGATGTGCTGGGCTCTTCCATCATTGAGGATGGGGATATTTGTGGAGCCTCCTCCTCCAGTAAGTTGTTTAATTGTCCACCACCATTCACAACTGGATGTGGTAGGACTACAGAACTTAAATCTGATCTGTTGGTTGTGGGATCACTAAGCTCTGTCTATCACTTGCTGCTTTCTCTGTTTGGCGTGCAAGTAGTCCTGTTTGGTGGCTTCACCAGGTTGATACCTCATCTTCAGGTATGCCTGGCGCTGCTCCTGGCATGCCCTCCTGCACTCTCCATTGATGCTTGATGCTCATGGTTGAGTGGATTCCCACTGATCCGAAACTGAACTGGACTCACCATATAAATACAGTAGTTTCAGGAGCAGGTCAGAGGCTGGGAATACTGCAGCAAATAACAAAGCCTCCTGCAAGTTCCCCTCCAAGCCACTCACCATCCTGAAATCCTGGAATTCCCTCCCTAAAGGCATTGTGGGTCAACCTATAGCACAGGGACTGCAGCAGTTCAAGAAGGCAGCTCACCACCACCTTCTCAAGGGGCAACTAGGGATGGGCAATAAATGCTGGGTCCAGGCAGCAACGCCCACATCCTGTGAGTGAATATCAAAAATTCCTGAGAATCGATTGAACCTTAATCCCTGCCCTCTCAGTGTGATTGGTGCTAATGTGTAGCACAGCCTTCATCTCACTGCGTTCCTGTGCAGTACATTGTACACCCTCTCCATTATGTCCTTAGCACCAGAGGGATCACTCAACATGCTGAGCTCAGACAGACAGTGGTACCACATCCAGTCTATCATCCTGATGGTAATATCTCTACCTTCATCGTTGCTGGCCCCTTCTGTATGGTCCCTTGCCCCCTCATAGAGTCATACAGCATGGAAACAGACCCTTCGGTCCAACCAGTCCATGCCAGACATAATCCCAAACTAAACCACCTGCCTGGTCCTGGCCCATACCGCTCCAAACCATCCCTATTTATGTATCCATTCAAATGTCTTTTAAACACTGTAATTGTGTCAGCATCCACCACTTCCTCAGTAAATTCATTCCACACATGAACCACCCTGTGTAAAACAATTTGCCTCTTATGTCTTTTTTAAAAATCTTTCTCCTCTCACCTTAAAAATGTGCCCCTAGTCTTTAAAGTTCCCCATCTTAGGGAAAATACAACTACCATCAACTCTATCTATACCTCCCATTATTTTATAAACTTCTACAATGTTGCCTCTCAACCTCCTACGCTCCAATAAAAGAAGCCCCAGCCTATCCAGCCTTTGCTTATAAATCAAAACTTCCATACCTGGCAATGTCCTGGTAAATCTCTTCTGAAGGGTCCTGACCCAAAACATCAGCTTTCCTGCTGCTCTGATGCTGCCTGGCCTGCTGTGTTCCTCCAGCTCCATACTGTGTTATCTCTGACTCCGCATCTGCAGTTCTTGCTATCACCCAGCTTGATAATATCCTTCCTATAACTGGGTGACCAGAACTGGACACAGTATTCCAGAAGAGACCTCACCAATGTCCTATACAACCTCAACATGCCTTCACAACTCCCATACTCAAAGGACTGAGCAATGAAGGCATGTACGCCAAACGCATTTATAACCACCCTGTCTGAGGCAAACTTCAAAGAATTATGTACCGTCCTGTACAGTCCCTTGTCCCGTAACCCCAACCTCTGGGTCTACTCTGTCAGGGCAATGTTACTGACTGGAGCCTCCAGCGGAACAGGGTTCCCTATCTGAGAGTGGCCCTCCCATCCTGAAGACTCCAAACTCCATCCCCTCACCCCGCCCTGACAACCATCCAGCCACAATCCCCCCCACCCCCGACAACCATCCAGCCACAATCCCCCCCACCCCCGACAACCAACCAGCCACAATCCCCACCATCCCCGGCTCTCACACCGAGAAACCCTGAGCTGGAAACAGTTTGTATAAATAACACCTAGGTGTCCGGAAACTCTCACATACCACAGGAATGACAGCTACCAGGTCCTCGGGGATGGGGGGATGAGGGAGGGGGTGAAGGTGTGAGGGTGAGGGAGGAGGTGAGCTGAGGGGAATGGGAGGAGGGTGACAGGGACCCTATCCCTGAGGGAGATGAGTGCCCCTGGAGGGATGTTTGTGACAGTCTGGGTCTGGGTGAATGGTCTCTGTCCCTGGTTCAGCACCAAATCCGTACCATCTCTCTGAGGGTCTGATGTTCCTTCTCTCGCCCTCATTCTCCGCCACTTGCTCTCTCTCTCATATTGTGTGTTTCTCCCCTCTGCTTCTCTTTCTCTCTCCCTCATTCTCCTCTTTCTCTCTCCCTCATTCTCAGCCAGTTTCTCTGTCTTTCTGACTCCGTTTATTTGGCCTTCCTCTGGTGTGCAGTCAGTGGAGAGTTAATGCGGACACACATTCTCCCCAATCCCTCCCTCCCTCTCTCTCTCTCTCTCTCTCTATTCCGAGCACAGCCTGTCCTCTGCACTGTCTGAGCGAGTTGCAGCGCAGTGTCTCTGATCCTGGGATCTTGCCTGTCCGCCCCCAGCGAACCCCGAGTGGGTCTGGAGTGTGTGGTACCGGGTAAGTGTGAGCACTTGCCTAAATAAGGGAGCGCAACGGCTTGAGTTTAACAGCTTGGGCTGTTCGGGCGAGGAACCGGGGAAGGGAAGCAACAAGAGTGGGGCACAAACCCTGAAAGACACCCGGGGGGGGGGGGCAGGTGACTGGCTCCAGAATAGGGGCTTTAGTAACGAGGCAAACAGCCCCCAGGGTAGCAGTGGAGACATTAATGTGCGATTCCACCCTGAGCGACTAGGACAATAAATAACTGGGTGAATTATGAAGGGATGTTTAATTAACTAATGACTGATTTGATAATTAAAACCAGAACAATTCCTAACTGGGCTCATTAGTCGTGTAATTAAGAACGGGACAATTAATAAGTGATTACTTTTTTTGCATTGCTGGTGACAGGGTTTGTAAGACAGAGTTGTCGTTTCAGAGAATGGTTGAGTCAATGACATTGCAGTGGGTCTGGAGTCACATGTAGGCCAGACCAGGTAAGGATGGCAGTTTCCTTCCCTGAAGGACACGAGTGAACCAGATCTGACAGGTTTGGGGTAATAACTAACAGGCAATTAGCAAATGGACAATGAACAGGAACGGTGAATAATGGGACATAATTAATGGCCAAACAACAAGACGTGTCTAGATATATCAATGTATACAATTCAGGAATAACCAGGAGAGTTCATGAGGAAATGAATTTGAGGGCCAGTCACTCACTGGAAAACAAGACACCATTATTAGTCAAAGTTAGTATCTGAAGTTCATCTATTTATTTATTTTAACAGTTATTTAGGGCAATAAATTGGGATGTTCTTTTCTGCAGATTAGTTGAGTCATTATTAACTAATTATTGAGGCATTCCTTTGAAGAATAATCCCTCTGGACTGAGTAGATCATATCCTGTTCACCAGTAAGATTACTGAGATAACTCTAAACTTGCTAGCAGGCTGTCAACCCAACCCCAGTGAGAGTCAGTGTGTGTGTGTGCGCACGCGCGTCTGTATCTCAGTGAGAGTCTGTGTGTGTGTGTGTATGGGACCCCATACTCCAGCGAAAGTCAGTGTGTGTGTGTGTATGGGAGCCCGTACCCCAGTGAGAATCTGTGTGTGTGTGTGTGTGTATGGGAGCCCGTACCCCAGGGAGAATCAGTGTGTGTGTGTGTGTATGGGAGCCCATACCCCAGTGAGCGTCTGTGTGTGTGTGTGTGTGTGTGTGTGTGTGTGTGTGTGTGTATATGGGAGCCCGTACCCCAGTGAGAGTCAATGTGTATGTGTGGGACTGAGACAGAAATTAAACGATATCCCTGAGGTGTAAGTATGATGTTCACTTTAAAAGGTAATTTGAGAAATGTTGTGTGGAGTCTGTTTTTGAGTGGTGTTGGTGTTGGTGCCAGTTCCTGAGCTGATGATAATTGTTGGGGTGGGATATTGTACTGTGTGTGTGTTTTAATGGGTGTTTGATGTTTCCTGTTGCATAGAAACTGAGAGTCCAGGAGGATTCCTCGTGCTGTGGCCCGTTGTCTGAGTGATGAACGCAATCGTCCGGCTAGAGAACATCATCAGCTTCACTTGTCCCTCGTAGGAACTACCTGTGACTCCCTTTCGCGCTGAGCTTTATTCACCCTGAGCGCTTTCGGAATTCTCGCCGTTTCTTTTGGGACTCCCTCTGCTGGTCTCCTGGAGTTGCTCGGTCACACAATGCCAATACGAAGGGGTCACGTCGCTCCCCAGAACACCTTCCTTGACACCATCATCCGCAAACTGGAGGGTCGCAGTAAGTGTCCAAGAGCCATGTTAACAGCTCCCTATGAGAGAGACAGGAGGACTGATAGAGAGAGAAACCAGAGGGTGAGGATAGGGTGGAGGCAGGGAGAGAGAGAGACTAACATTTACACAAAACTGAAATGGACAGTGTACAAGATATAACGATAAAAACAGCCAGGGAGACAACTAGAACTGTGAGTCAGATTGAAAGGGGGAGGGGTATTGGCAGAGGATGAAGGAGAGAGAGTGAAAGAAATACGGGGAGAGAGAAGGAGAGGGACAGACATGGGGCAGAGGCAGGGGTCAGGTGGTGGGGGGGGTGGAGAGAGAGAGAGAGAGAGAGACACACATACTTTCTCTCTCTACCCCTCCCTCTCCTGCCCCTCCCATCCCTGTCTGTCTCTCTCTCTCTTTCTCTCTCTGTCTCTCTTCCCACCTTCGCTCTATGTGTTGAGGGATACTAGGGGGAGGGAGGGGGCCTCAAACAGCTGGCAAGTGGAGTGTGCTATCAGAATCTATAAATACTTTGCAGCAATCCAGTGGCCGAGAATGTTGAGGTTCACAGGAATTGCATATGGCCTGGCTGCAGATAATGGAGACAGTGTCGCCTGGGAACTGCAGTCAGAGAGAACTTAAGGGGAGGAGAAGGCTGTATAAGAGCAGATGGGATAGTACAGGGGAGAGAGAGAGAAAGGACACCGCAATTCCCTCAAAAAGAAAGGAGGGAGAGACCAGAGGAAGGAACAGGAAGCCATTCGGCCCCTCAACCCTGTTCAGCCATTCAGTTAGATCCTGGCTGATGTGTGACCTGACCCCTTTAACCTGCCCCATCTACCTTAACACCTCAGTACTGACCCCCTCCCACCCCAGACAGCGCTGCGCTCCCTTGGTGCTGACCCCATGACTGCCATGATGTGGAGGTGTTGGTGTTGGACTGGGGTGGACAAGGTCAGAAGTCACATGACACCAGGTTATAGTCCAACAGGTTTATTTGAAAACACAAGTTTTCGGGGCACTGCTCCTTTCTCAGGTAAAGGGAACAGAAGTGCACAGGCACAGAATTTATAGGCAGAGAGATCAAAAAAATCATACAAACGGTGTGAATGGAGTGTTGATAGGTCATCCTTTCACTTACTATTCAGCCTATGATCCAACTAATTGAGGCAGAGAGATAATTCCAAAAAAATTCAAAATAAGGTGGTGCTGGAGACAAACTTAACAGCTGGAATAACATGATAGGTACAAGAATCACATGCTGAGGGTCTAACCAAAGTAACAAGTAATTCAAAACTGTACAAACTAATTAAGGTCGAGAGGTCATAACAATTTATCAAGGTGATGGTGTTAAACCAGGACAGTAAGGAACATTTTATAGATGCAGAACAGTACGGTGGGTTACATGTAGCGCAACATGAGCCAAGATCACTGTTGGGCCCGTCTTCATAGGTACTGAACTTGGCTGTCAGTTTGTGCTCAGCAATTCTGCGTTGTTGTGTATTTTGAAGGCCAGACAGGAATGTTCCCTTGGAAGACGTTTACCCGAAGATCAGAGGCTGAATGTCCTTGACCGCTGAAGTGTTCCCCCACTGGGAGGCAACATTCCTGTCTGGCCTTCCAGATACACAACAACGCAGAGTCACCGAGCAGAAACTGACAGCCAAGTTCTGTACCCATGAAACTACATGCACTAAATGTAACCCCACCGTACTGTTCTGTCTCTGTAAAATCTTCCTTACTGTCCTGTATTAACACCATCACCTGGATAACTGGTTATGATCTCGCAACATTAATTAGTTTGTGCAGTTTTGGATTACTTGTTACTTTGGTTAGACCCTCGGCATGTGACTCTTACACCTCTTATTTTTTGGAATTATCTCTGTCCCTCAAATAATTGGATTGTAGGTCATCCCCTTCACTTACTTTACAGCTGTTGACACTTTACTCACACCATCTGACAATTCTGATCACCTGCAGAGATTTATTATTCGACACTCCACTCACACTATTTGTATGATTTTTTGATCTCTCTGTCTATAAATGCTGTGCCTGTGCACTTCTGATCCCTTCATCTGACAAAGGAGTAGCGCCCTGAAAGCTTGTGATTTCAAATAAACCTGTTGGACTCTCACCTGGTGTCTGTGACTTCTGACCCTCCGACAATGCAGTGCTCCCTCCTTACTGCACTGCGTTGGAGATGTCCCTGATATTTTGTGAGGAGGTTAAAGAATGTCCATGTGGCTGGTGTCAGAGATGGCAGTGCAGATACCTCAACACTTTATAGCTTTGGTTAACCTGAATGAGTTAAATGTGGAGGGTTCTGAATAATGCAGAGCTCTATGGCTCAGTGACAGATACCTGTTCCCTTTAATATTTTAACAACAGCAACAAAAGAGCTTTTCCCAAAATCCCTGGAGGAATACTGGCTTCGCCATTGTGCTCTCAGGCACTCAGGCTAATGAATAACATCACTCCTGGCACAATTCCGATTTCAGGCTCACATTTCAACTGATGGGAGACAATTTGCCACTTAGAGCAATAGGCCCCTTCAAACACTCCCAGGACAGGGACAGCACAAGGTTAGGTACAGAATAAAGCTCCTTCTGCACTGTCCTCCCCCGCCATCAAACACTCCCAGGACAAGGACAGCACGGGGTTAGATACAGAGTAAAGCTCCTTCTGCACTGTCCCCCCATCAAACTCTCCCAGGAGGGGAACTGTACGGGGTTAGATACAGAGTAAACTTGCTGTCCCCTTAACATTCCTAAGTTCTACCCACACAGCCTTGCCTGAGGACACTTCCAAGATATCATCTCTCTTTATTGCAGTAATTGACTCCTTACTTAATAGTGCTACACCACCACCCTTTTTACACCATCCTCTGTCTTGCCTAAAGATCATATACCCTGAATGTCGAGTTGCCAGGCCGGCCCTTCCCTTGGAGGAAAGGGTTGTGTGTTTCAGGGTGGGGTGTTAAGGGAGTCTCACAGTGACTATCCCTGTTTCCATGGTGCTGCCGTTGATTGACTGTTCTCCATGTGATGCTGTGCTCTGTTTAGATCGAACATTTATCATTGGTAATGCCCGAATGGTGAACTGTGCCATCATTTTCTGTAACGATGCGTTTTGTGAGATGTCCGGCTATTCCCGAGCGGAAGTGATGCAGAAACCAGCCTCTTGTGACTTCCTCCATGGTCCTCGGACCAGGAAGACTGCGGTTTCTCAAATCACACAAGCCCTGGGGGGCTCTGAAGAGCAAAAAGTGGAACTGTCTCTCTACAGGAAGGATGGTAAGAATCTTTGAAACACACACCAGATTCTCCAGAAGTACAATGGTGTATCCTTTGAGAGAGTAACAGAAAGTATCCACCTGTCGAGAGAATCAATGTCACTTCCCCGGATTCTCCAGAAGGTGCCTCCTAACTGAGTGAGTGTGGAATCAAGGGCAAATGGTCTGAGTGGGTTGTGAGATGGCAGGAAGGTACAGAGTGAGAGTGAACGTGAGTTACTCCTAGAGGGCAAAGGTCAGAAACATTGGTCAATATTTTTAATTTAGCTTTAACTGATGACCTCTAGTTCCAGATTCCGCCATATCCTCTCTACATCCAGCCCCTGTCAAGACCCTTCAGATGCCTATATGTTTCAGATAATTTGATTTGTTTTATTGTTGTCACATGTACTAAGATACAGTGAAAAGTATGGTTTTGCCTGCTATACAGGCAAATAATACCTGACATAAAAACATCGTGGTAATAGAACAGAATGCAGAATATAATGTTACAGCTATAGAGAAGGTACAGAGAAAGATCAACTCTAATATATGAGAGGTCCGTTCATGAGTTGTCTCTTGTCTCTTGTTCTTCTAAACTCCAGTGAGTACAAGCCTAGTCTGTCCAAACTTTCCAGGGATTAGTCTGGTAAACCTTCTCAGAACTGCCTCCAATGTATTTGTATTGTTCCTTATGCACAGAGACCGATACCCACACAGTCCTCTAGATATAGTCTCACCAATGCTCTGTGTAACTGAAGTGTGACCTCTCTACTTTCTGTATTCACTTCCCCTCATAATAAATGATAACATTCTCTGGGTTTTCCCGATTACTTGTTGTAACTACAGACTTTTCATGTCTGAGGACACTCGGATCCCTTGGCATCTCAGAGCTCTGAAACCTCTCCCTGTTTAAATAATATGTTTTGCTTTATTGATCTTTGCCTACTCACTTAATGTATCTATATCCTGTGGTAGGTTCCTTATGTCCTCTTCACAACTCTCTTTCCTACCTAGAGATATCAGGAACTGCAGATGCTGGAATCGGAGATAAGTGTGGAGCTGGATGAACACAGCAGGTCAGGCAGCATCAGAGGAGCAAAAAAGTTGACATTTTGGATTGGGACCCTTCTTCAGAAATGGGGAGGGGGAAGGGAGATCAAAAATAAATAAAGAGAGAGAGGGGTGTGGCTGGGGAATGTAGGTGGGATAGTAACAGGTGAGTGCAGGTAGGGAGCGGTGGGGATTGGACATTAAGGTGGGAGAGAAGATGGACAGGTTGTGTCAGGTCAAGGAGGCGGTGTTGAGAGGGAGGGTTGGACATGGGATGAAGCCAGGGGTGGGGAGATTTTAAAACTGGTGAAATCCATGTTTAGGCCATCGGGCTATCGGCTCCCGAGGCGGAATATGAGGTGCTGCTCCTCCAGTTTGTGGGTGGTGTCATTGTGACACTGGAAGAGACCCAGGATCGACATGTCATTCAGGAAGTGGGAGGGGAAGTTAAAATGGTTCGCGCCTGGAAGATGTTGTTGTTTGTCGTGTACAGAGTGCCGATGGTCTACAAAGCGCTCTCGGAGTCTCCGCTTGGTCTCACCGGTGTAGAGGAGACCACATCGGGACCAGCGGGTGCTGTAGACCAAGTTGACGGATGTGCAGGTGAACCCCTGTCTAAGCTGGAAGGTTTGTTTTGTGCCTTGAATGGAGGTGAGTGGGGAGCTGTAGGGGCAGGAGTAGCACTTGCTGCGGTTGCAGGGAAAGATGCCGGGGGTGCTGGGTTAGTGGGGCGGATGAGGGAGTTGTGGTGAGAGCAGTCCCTACGAAAGGCAGATAGGGGCAGGGAGGGAAATATCTCTTTGGTTGTGTGGTCGGATTGTAGGTGGCAGAAGTGGTGGAGAATGATACGTTGGATGTGGAAATTGGTGGGGTGATAAGTGAGAACTGGGGAATTCTGTCTTTGTTTTTGTTGGGGGGGAGGGCATTTGAGGGCAGAGGTGTGGGAAACGCAAGAGATGTGGCTGAGGGCATTTTCCATCACCAGAGGGATATGTTGTGGTCCTTGAAATAGGAGGACATCTGGGCTGTGTGGGAGCGGAATGCCCCATTTTGGGAGCATGCGGTGGAGGCAGAGGAATTGGGAGTAGGGGATCGCATTCTTGCAGGAAGGTGGGTGAGAGGAGGTGTAGTCCAGGTAGCTCTGGTGTTGGATGGCTTGAAATGGATATCAGTTTCCAGGTGGTCACCTGAGATGGAGACAGAGAGGCCCAGGAAGGAGAGAGGGGTATCAGAGATGGTCCAGGTGAACTTAAGATTGGGGTGGAAGGTGTTAGTAAAGTTGATAAACTGTTCAAGCTCCTTGTGGGAGCACGAGGCGGTGCTGATATAGTCATTGATGTAGCGAAGGAAGAGGTAGGGGATAGTGCCAGTGTAGCTGCGGAAGAGGGAATATTCCACATATCCTACAAAGAGGCAGGCATAGCTTGGGCCCATGCGGGTTCCCATGGCCACCCCCTTAGTCTGTAGGAAGTGGGAGGAGTTGAAGGAGAAGTTGTTAAGGGTAAGGACGAGTTCGCTTAGGTGGATAAGGGTGTCTTTGGAGGGGGACTGGTCGGGCCAGTGGGAGAGGATGAAGCGGAGGGTTTTTAGGCCATCTCCATGGGGAATATAAGTGTATAGGGCCTGGACGTCCATGGTGACGATGAAGTGTTGAGGACCAGGGAATCGGAAGTTTTGGAGGAGGTGGAGGGTGTGGGTGGTGTCACGGACATAGGTAGGGAGTTCCTGGACCAATGGGGAGAAAATGGAGTCGAGATAAGTTCGGTGGGGCAGGAGCAGGCGGAGACAATGGGTCGACCAGGGCAGTCAGGTTTGTGGATTTTGGGAAGGAGATAGAAACGGGCGGTGCGGGGTTGGGGAACGATGAGGTTGGAGGCTGTGGGTGGGAGGTCACCTGAGGTGATGAGGTTGTGGATGGTTTGGGAGATGATGGTTTGGTGGTCGGGGGTGGGGTCATGATCAAGGGGGCGGGAGGAGAAGGTGTCGGAGAGCTGGCGTCTGGCCTCAGCGATGTAGAGGTCAGTGTGTCATACTACAACTGCACCCCCCCTTGACCGCGGGTTTTATGGTGAGTTTGGGATTGGAGCAGAGGGAGCGGAGGGCTGCACGTTCTGCGGGGGAGGTTGGAGTGGGTGAGAGGGGTGGAGAGGTTGAGGCAATTGATGTCTCGACGGCAATTGGAGATGAAGAGGTCGAGGAAGGGTAGGAGGCCTTGGGGTGGTGTCCAGGAGGAGGGGGTGTGTTGGAGGTGGGAGAAGGGGTCTGTAGAGGGTGGGGGTTAGACTCGCGGTTAAAGAAATAGGTGTGGAGGGGTGGTGCCTCCGGAGCCCACAGCCCAATGGCCTAAACGTGGATTTTACCAGCTTCAAAATCTCCCCACCCCCGGCCTCATCCCATGTCCAACCCTCCCTCTCATCCCTGCCTCCTTGGCCCGACACAACCTGTCCATCTCCTCTCCCACCTATCCGTCCCTCCCACCTCACTGACCAATCCCTACCACTCCCTACCTGCACTCACCTATCACCATCCCACCTACATTCCCCAGCCCCACCCTCCTCTCTCTCTTTATTTTTGATATCCCTTCCCCCTCCCCATTTCTGAAGAAGGGTCCCGACCTGAAACGTCAGCTTTCCTCCTCCTCTGATGCTGCCTGGCCTGCTGTGTTCATCCAGCTCTACACTGTGTTATCTCAGACTCCAGCATCTGCAGTTCTTGCTATCTCTAGACTAAACATGAACTCCGTTTCACAAAACCGTCTTGACTCTGCCTGATTACCTTGGACCCAGCGAAGTGCCACGTGATCACTTCTTTATTAATAGCTTTGAATATTTTCCCTATGATAGATGATAAGTTAACTGACCTATATTTCCCAGCTTTATGAATTCTTGTTTTATATAAAGGAGTTACATTCACTGTGCTCCAATCCAATGGAATCATCCCCAAATCAAGGGAGGTTTGGAAAATAAAGAACAGATACATCAACAATCTCACTAGCCACTTCTTTTAAAACCCTAAAACGTAGTCCATCCCAGAACTCCAATTTATTGAGTACCATTTCTCTGGTCATAGACTCATAGAAATTGACAGCAATGAGAAAGGCCCATTGGCCCTCTGAGTCTATATAGGTCAAAAACCTAATTATTTTCTAACCTTATTTCACAGCACTTGGATCATAGCCTTATACACCTTGACATCTAAATACTTCTCTAATGTTACTGCCTTTCCTACCCTTACAGGTAGAGAGTACCAGATTTTGCCCAACTTCTGGGTGAAAATGTTTTTCTTCACATCTTCTCTAAACGTCCTGCCCCTTCCCTTAAACCTATGACCCTAGGCATTGATCCCTTCATAAAGGGGAAGAGTTTGTTCCTGTCTACCCTATCTATGCCACTCATAATTTTGTACATCTCAATCGGGTCGCCCCTCATCTCCTCTGCTCCAAGGAAAACAACCCCAGTCTGTTCAGTCTCTCGTCATCACTGAAACTCTCCAGTCCCAGGCAACATCTGATGATTGTGATTTTCCTGAGTACACCCCTCATTCCCATTTTCTGATTAATTGCTGCTTCTGGATGTTATTTTTACCCTCTACAGTGAAGACTGATGGAAAATACCTGCTTAATTCATCCCCCCCATCTCCTTATTTTTTGTGATTGATTCTTTCTATAAGATCAACTCTCACTTTATTTACTTTCCTTTCAATATCCATTGAAAAGCTTACTTTTCAAAAAAAAAAGTCTGCCTAGCTCGCTCTTGCATGTTTTTTTTTAAAATAAAAACCAAAAGACCTGCGGATGCTGTAAATCAGAAACAAGGACAGAAGTTTCTGGAAAAGCTCAGCAGGTCTGGCAGCATCTGTGAAGAGAAATCAGAGTTAATGATTTGGGTCCTTCCTCAGAACCGATGGTGGCTGGGAAAATGTTGGTTTATATGCAGAAAATAGGGTGAGAGGAGGAGGCAAGGAGTAAAC